TATCTGTTTATTCTTGTGATTTATCTGTTGTGTTGGATGTTTGGATTGCATTTGGGTTTTCGTTTGGTCTCTTTAATTGCAACAAGGTATATATTGTCTTAGGCTCCGTTTGGTTCCTTTTTGGGAATACTACTATTAGTATTCCCAATAAAGTTAAACAGTAAAATAACAAAAACTCACAATATTATTCAACTTTTTTTAAACCCCTTCAATTTGTTAATTTAATTAAATACCCCTAAATATTTTTTTTAACAAATTGTAAAAACACCCCAACAACCCACGTTTACCAGATTCCGGCCACCATTGCCGGAAGATGGTTGGAATCTGGTATAACAGTGCACTACCGACTGAATCTGGCCGGTAGTGCACCGATCTAGCCTTTTCTGGCTAGATCTACGGTGGATCTGGCCAAAAAAGGCCAGATCTAAGGCCAAAGATCTGGCCGTAGCCAGTTGTCAACGACGGCCAACATATGGTCGTCGTTGACCATCAACAACGACCATATATTGGCCATCGTTGACTAGCAAATATGGCCAGATCTAGCCATCAATGGCCAGATCTAGCCGTAGATCTGGCCTTTTCTGGCGAAGGCCATGTCGGCGCATGACCGGTAAGATCCAGCCGGTCATGTGCCGATAAGGCCACTACGGTCACCCTCCGACGGTGGTGGCCGGCTGTCCATATTTTTTGGGTGAATTGTGGGTGTTTTTGTTAACTTTTAATGTTTTATTATAGAGGTGTTTAGTAAATAAATAAATATAGGGGGTATTTTTATTAATTTTCAAATCCTACATCGTAATACCCGCCCAATTCAGCTTTTTTTAACTTTTTTCACAAATTTTTTCTAAAAAGTGTAAAAAAGTAAACCAAACGGAGCCTTAATATTTGATGTTATCTATTATTTTATCTTCGAGAGTTCTGGGGAACAAGGTACAAAGTAGAGGTGGGCATTTGGGACTGGCCCAAAACCCCAGCCCCAAAACTCGGTCCTAGGAGGCCTGGTCCCAAAATGGGACCATGGCTAAGGAGGAGGGCCTGGGCCCAATTTTTTTTTTCAATATAGTCCCTATCAAATTACCTAAAACCCCCTATCATTTTTAAAATAAACATAAAATACAAGGGTTAAAATGAAATTTGACAAAATTTATTAAAAAAAATGGTTTTAAAATAACCGTTGGCTGCTGCAGGTTATGCTTTATTTTTAACTGTTGGCTGGCAACGGTCACAGCCAACGGTTATAAGTTATAATATAAATTATAACTTTTTTTTTTCATTCCCCCCGCGCCCCCCCCCCCCCCCCCCCCCCCCGCCCGCCCCCCCCCCCCCCCCCCCCCCCCCCCCCCCCCCCCCCCCCCCCCCCCCCCCCCCCCCCCCCCCCCCCCCCCCCCCCCCAACCACATTATAAATAACCCTAAGATCTTTCATTTTTTCCACACCAATCAATCTCACTCCAAATCTCCAATCAATTTCTCATTTTAATTTTTCTCATTCAATTTATATTTATATTTATAATTTACATATTATTCAATTTTTTCTATTTTTCAATATCATCATTTCATATTATATTTAATTTAATTTCTTTCATTTTAATTATTTATTATTATCATAAATTTATAATGGTTCTCCAAATAATTTTACGTTCCATCCACCGAAGAAATGGAAGGCTTTAATCCATTTTCACCATTTCCTCTAGAGGAAGCAGCTGCAATTTCACAACCACATCGGTCGGGACGAGGTGTAGCCAAACACATGTGAGCTGCGAGTCAACGGGCACGGGCATAGCCCAACCCCCTGACCATCAAAGAGGGTCGTGTCCGATGTATGGCGATACTCACTAAATCAAAACGGCCAAAGACAAATGGGGAGGGGAAGAATCATGTGGGATAGTAATTTTTGTGGAACCATTATTGGCGCTGAGAATGGGACTTCGACAATGCGACGACACCGTAGAGAAGAAGCACCCCCAAATAATGCAGTTGCCCGATGAATCTTCAAGCGGATCAGGTAGACAAATTCAAACTCCACTTAATTTTAATCCACAATCCTCAACTCTCTCAACATGGCAATACAATTGTTGCACGAGAGGAAATAGCAAGATATATAGTTGCTACGGACTCTCCCATTTGTTTATCTGAAAATCCTTTTTTTATTCATATGGTTAAAACTGCATTTTGTCAGCATATAACGCTGTTAGTAGAAGTACAAGTAGAAAGATATACTAAAACTTATAACAAATAAATAATAAACTTAAAAAAGAATTTCAAAATTTTAGGAATATATCTATTGCACTTACATCAGACATATGGGCTTGTAGATCAAAAACCGATTTTTTAACTGTCATAGTACATTTCTTAGATCATAATTGGGGTTTACAACAAAAATTGATAGGTTTTAAACCATTATATGAAAAACATAGTGCTGAAACTATTTATTTTACAATTCTTGAAGTTTTGCAAGAATATTTATTAACTGATAGACTTGTAGCGCAAACGCTTGATAATGCAGCTGCTAACACCGCGGCAATTTCTTTATTTGAAAAGAAATTGGATGCGCGTGGTGAAGACAGATTTTTTCACCAGAGATGTGCTTGCCACATCATCAATTTGATAGTTAAAGCAGGTTTAGATGCTATACATTCGAAGATGGAGAGGGTGCGCAGAGCTATCAAATTTATCGTCAGCGGTAGCAATAAAAGATGGCATGAGTATGTCAAATATTGTAAGCAAGAGGACCCACCGGTTCGACCTTTGAAGTTATGTACAGACATGCCTATCCGTTGGAACTCCACCTATCTGATGTTGGAAAAAGCTTTGCCAACCGTGAAACAAATTACAGATTTCGTCAACTGGAAGAACCATCCAGAGAAAGTTGTCAGCTATGATAATTGGGCGGTTTGTGAACTTTTTTATTCATTTCTTCAAATTTTTTATGATGCTACTAATACATTAAGTGGTATTTATTATCCAACTACTAATTTAGTGTTAGATATTTTACTTCAAATTTCTAAAACTTTTGCTCAATATAGATATAATAACATTTTAAGTGAAATTGTTTCAAAGATGGAAGAAAAATATGAGAGATATTGGTTAGATATTCCATTCTTATATGGATTAGTCCTTGTTTTAGTCTTTAGATCCTAGGTTTAAATTACACGTAGTTAACTGTATAATTACTAAGATAGACCATCATTTAAGACATGATTATACATCTTATTTGACTAACTTTAAACAAAAATTGGATAGCCTTTTTTCTTTATATGAGAACAGGCATAGTGGAAGTGGAAGTGGAACGTTCAGGAGAGAGGATCAGGACCTTAATGTAGCCCTCCGTCAAGGATCGAGCAAGTGGACGTATGTGGAACGTGGTGGAAGTAGCAGCTCCAGCTCATACATACATGGATCAAATGAGCTGAATCGTTACCTACAAGTGGACCTGTCCTATATGACGATGAAGGAGCAACATGATATGGATATTGTTCAGTGGTGGAACCAACATGAAAGTCGATTCCCTATTGTAACCCAAATGGCACGTGACATTTTATCTGTGCCGGTTTCTACAATTGCATTAAGTCAACATTTTCAACGACTGGTAAGATTGTTGAAGACAGAAGATGTTCTTTAACCGATGAGATGATTGAAGTGATAACGTGTTTACTGGATTGGACTCATGTAGAAAGAAGACTACAACAACACCCTGAAGATCCCGAACTACTCGAACTCCTTAGGAATACTGATTTAAATGATGTAAATATTGTTGACAATGAAAATAAATAATTAAATTAAAAAAATATTTAATTGTTTAATTGTGAAGCGTGAATGTGTGAAACGTGAATTTATATTAAAAATTAAAATTAACTATTAATTAATTAATTAATTTATTATTTTTTAAAATTAATTAAATTTTTAAAAACTTATTAATCTATCCTTAAAAAATACTAAAAACCTCCTATAAAATTTTGTTTTACCCCCAAAATATAAAAAAAAGATCAGGGGTAAAAAAAAATTGTCCAGACCCATAGGACCGGTTCAAGACCGGTCCTAATCCTAGGCCTATAAGACCAGTCCTAGAACTAGTTTGGGTCCTTATTTTGCTCATGGACTTGGGCCTGACCCGATCCCAAACCCATGAGCTATTGGTCTCATTTGGGACCAGTCTCAAACGGGGCCGACCCAGGCCTGCTTGGGACTGGTCCCTATCCACCTCTATTACAAGTTGTAAATTGATGTCTACCCAATGTTATAAATGTTCCTCCAATAGCAATATTAGCATATAAGAAATTTGTGCAAGCACACATCAATCAGTGTATTGTACTTGTCAGTTGTCTTGTCACCATTTATTTGTATGATTATCAATTTCACCTCCCTTCTGCTTTGTTAGGCATTCTGGTGAATTTGACATTTTGATATCATCATAAAAAACTGTAAACTCTGAACATGTATGCTGAACCTTAATACTCATTTATTAAGAAGTAGAAATATGTACATTCGTGGAGTTGAATTGAATTAAAATTTTTGACGTATAACAAAGACCCAAACCTGCTCTTTAAATAGAAAGAAAGCATCACATTTCATCAATGGCAACCTACAGTGATAGCAATAAGGATTACGACATGCAACTTGTTTAATTGTTAATTTCATGCATGTCATGTCATTTCATTTCCATCATTAAAGAGAGGTTAATTTTAATTTTCCTTTCTTCTCAACGAGAAGATAAAATTTCTGTGATATTAAAGGTTTAAAAAAGAGGCTAATGTTGTCATCTTAGAAGATAACATTACTGTGATATTAATGGTTTAACGCAAGTACTCTTGTCATCTTAGAAGATAAATTACTGTGATAATATATTACTGGTTTCAGATAACAGCTAGTTTTATCATCTTGGAGATTCTCTCTTCTCGACATAGACATAATCTCAACATTCAATGTCGAGATTATAATTACCGTAATTATCTTGTTTCTTATCCTTTCAAGTCTGCATTATTGTTTTTGTAGCCTATAAATACTGAGGAAAGGGGCAACATTTGCAAGAAACATAAAAATGCAGAAAGCTTGGTGCTATGAGGAATATGGTAGCAAGGAAGTCCTCAAGTTGGGGGAATTCCCGCTTCCTACTCCCCTGCAAAACCAACTACTCGTCCAAGTACGAGCTGCTGCCTTGAATCCTATTGATTCCAAGAGGCGCCAACGACCCATATTTCCTTCTGACTTTCCTGTGAGTAGAAATTAATACCACTATTACGTGTGAGAACAAATATATCAGCACGTAGAGAGAGACGAGAGGAAAGGATGAGGCCATGAGGGGAACTGGGATTTGTGAGGGCTTGTGTGTACATATATGATTGGTTTAATTTCTCTGTATGCTGATTTGTCCATTTTCTTTGTCTGAATTGTCGTCCTCGTTTGTACCAACATCATGTGTTGGATACAATTCCGTGCTCTGATCCTACTAAGTACTGACTAAAACTTTTATGTGTACAGATCAATGGAGAAAATTTTAGGACGTGGGAATTGTTTGAAGGGTACACTGACCATTAACTGGTTATTTCGATGTACACATGGATGTTGACCATTTTAGAATATTTTTAGATTTATTAGAAATTAGAGACTCACTACTTGGAATTAATTAAGCAGAAAATGACTAAACTTGGACGGAATTTTGTAATAACTTAATGTTTAGAGTCACACACTTAGTTTTGTGGTAATTTGTGATTTTTCTGGTACCCTGGTCATAAAAATATTTTATTGGTAGTTAAGGAACCAATAATATTGCAATTTATGTGGGTGATTGATGTGTGCCTATGCAGGTTGTTCCTGGCTGTGACATGGCGGGTGTTGTGGTTGCAAAAGGCAGCCGTGTTACAAAATTCAATATAGGTGATGAGGTCTATGGCAACATCCAAGACTTTAATGCGGAGGGAAAACTAAAGCAGCTTGGGACTCTGGCAGAGTTCATAGTGGTGGAAGAGAGCGTGGTTGCGGAGAAGCCCAAAAACCTTTCATTTGAGGAAGCTGCCAGCTTGCCTCTTGCCGTTCAGACGGCAATAGAAGGCTTTGAAACTGCAAAATTCAAAGAGGGGCAAACAATTTTTATAGTCGGTGGAGCAGGCGGTGTTGGTACTTTAGTTGTTCAGCTGGCGAAGCACTTGTATGGAGCTTCCTATATTGTGGCTACAACCAGCACCCCAAAGGTGGAATATGTCAAAAATTTGGGAGCTGATAAAGTTATTGACTACAAAAAGACTAGTTATGAAGAAATTGAGGAGAAATTTGACTTCCTCTATGATACAATTGGTAAGTTTTCTTATTTTAATTTTTACTACTATTACTATAATTAAATCTTAATTGCAGTTTGTGGCTTTATGTGGATTGGGAATCTTTATTTCAGGTGACTGTAAGAGTTCTTTCGTGGTAGCTAAGGATGATGCACCTATCATTGATATAACATGGCCTCCATCGCATCCGAGAGCTGTTTACTCCAGCCTGACAGTTTCTGGAGAAAACTTAGAGAAGCTCAGGCCTTGTTTAGAAAATGGAAAGCTTAAAGCTGAGATTGATCCTACTGGCCCATATAAGTTTGAAGATGTTGTTGAAGCTTTTCGATATTTAGAAACTGGAAGAGCTAGAGGAAAAGTTGTCATCTCTGCCTTCCCTTCACAGCATTTCCCCTCTCTTATTTCATGCGAGAGCCAGCACAATCTTACTCCTGAAATGGTTCCTCTTGAAATGTCTGTTTACTGAATGTGTATACACTAAAAATTTGTAAAGTTTATTTTTGCCTTAAATTCTCGTTGAAAGTCAAGCCGTTGACTGTGTTTATTTATTTGGTTGTTTTGTTTCCTTGTTATGTATTAGCTAATGTATCTTTTTTTTAGGAGTTTTTTATTTTCTTAATCATTCTTTTCCTTTTACAAGAAGATTGAATTCTTAATTGTCAAATCTTCTTGATTTATTTTTATTTTTTCCTTTAAGAGAGATTCTTTTCCAGAATTATCTCACCCTTGTTACTTATTTATTTGTCTTCTTTATTCAGTAAAATAACAGAAGAAGAAATAGAGTCTGTTTTTTCTCCTTCTTCAAGTCTTTATTTTCTACATGAAATCAGAGCAGGTTTAATCTTGAATCTTTAATCTTCATCATCGAGTTTTTCCTACTCGTTATTTTTTGGTCTTTCAAATCTTCATGCCCAAATACGAACCAACCTCCAGTATGGTTACAGAAAGTAATTCTTCCTCAACTTCTTCGGGCATCATCGTTCCTTCATCTCCTTTTGTTCAAAATATGGAAGCCACCAATGTTCCTATTACCTCTCATAAATTAAATGGACAGAATTATGTCCCATAGTCTCAATCCCTCTTAATGTTCATTCGGGGGAAAGAGAAATACGACTACCTCACTGGTGATTCTGCAGCCCCAGAACCAACGGCTCCTACCTACAAGAAGTGGTTGGCAGAAAACAACATGGTTATGTCATGGCTCGTTAACTCAATGAATATGGACATTGGCGAGAGTTTTCTGGCATTTGAAATTGCTAAGGAGTTCTGGGATGCAGCCAAGGAGACTTACTCCGACATCGAGAACACTTCTGAGGTGGCAGAGATTGAAGGGATTCTCCATGATCTGCGACAAAGGGATCTTACGGTAACTCAATATTTTAATATTCTTACTCGCAACTGGCATCAACTTGATATGTATGACGGTTCATAATTGGTCATGTACTACTGATGGATTATTGTACAAAAATATTGTAGAGAAAAAACATGTTCACAAATTTTTGCTACGTTTGAATAAAAATCTTGATGAGGTCCGTGGAGACTCATGGGAGCAAAGACATCACCTAGTCTCAGAGAAGTTTTCTCTGAAGTCCGACGGGAAGAAAGTCATGATGGGGTCACCTCAACATCTGAGTGTAGTCGAAAACTCTGCCTTTTTTCACTAAGGGAACTCAGTCTGCCCCTTCAGATAATCGTCAGAAAATTAAAGGAGGAAGACCTTGGTGTGATCATTGCAGAAAACTAGGACATTTGAGGGAAACATGTTAGAAATTACATGGGAAGCCGTCTGATTGGAAGCCAGCACGTCAAATGGAGAAAGAAGGCCGAGGAAATCACACCTCCATAGAGGAGCCACTATCACCTGAAGTAAGTCCTTTTAATAAGGAACAAATGGAGATGCTTCAAAAATTATTGTCTCTTCTTCTGTCTACTCAGTCACAAATTGGTTCGTCTTCAAATCATGTCATTGGTTCTAGAACCCTGGCTCACAAAGGTAATTCTATGATCATTTTTTCTGTGTATAAGAAACAAGACAAACCCTGGATTGTGGACTTAGGAGCATCTAATCATATGATGGGGGATGCAACGGTTTTTAATACATTTAACTCATGTCCAAATGATTTAACTGTTAGAATAGCAGATGGTTCACTATCAAAGGTTACTGGTTCAGGTTCAATTGTGTTAGCAAAAGATATCACACTCAATTCTGTTCTTTTTGTTCCTCACTTGGACTGCAATTGTTGTCAATTAGTAAACTTACCAAGGATCAGAAGTGTGTTACTAATTTTTTCTCCACTCATTGTGAATTTCAGGATTTGGATTTGGGGAAGACGATTGGCAATGTTGAGGAGTGCTCTGGACTCTATATCTTTAAGGAGTGCCCACTTTCACAAGAACAACCTCAAACGGCAGTTAACGTTAGTTCTTTTTCAGTATTTCATCAAAATAATGATAATACTATTATGTTATGGCACTATCATTTAGGTCATCCCAATTTTATGTACCTCAAACATTTATTTTCTTCGTTATTTAATAAAAATCCAAAATCTATTGAGTATGAAATCTGTCAATTATCCAAGCATGTCCAATCTCATTTTCCTATTCAACCTTATAAAGCATCTAGACCATTTTCTATGATTCACAGCGATATCTGGGGTCCGTCAAAAATAAAAAATGTAATAGGTGCTAGGTGGTTTGTCTCATTCATAGATGATTATACTAGATTAACCTGGGCGTTTCTTATGAAAGACAAATAAAAAACAAGTCGAATCTTTAAAAATTTCAAAAATATGATTCAAACCCAATTCCAATCACAAATCGAAATCCTAAAGTCTGACAATGCTAAAGATTACTTCAACATCGTTCTAGGGAATTCCTATCAAAAGAAGGGATAGTTCACTTGAATTCCTGTGTAGACACCCCACAACAAAACGAAATCGCTGAAAGGAAAAATAGACATTTGTTAGAGGTAGCTAGGTCGCTAATGTCCTCCACAAATGTACCTAAATTCTTTTGAAGGGAAGTTGTTCTTACAGCAGCATATCTTATCAATAGGATGTCTTCTAGGGTGCTAAAATTTCAAACACCATGTCAAACCCTTCTAAAATCTTTTCCGACTACTCGTCTTATTTCCATTATTCTACCTAAAATTTTTGGATGCTCTGTCTTTGTCCATGTCCATCAACAATATATAAGTAAACTTGATCCTAGGTCACTCAAGTGTATCTTCCTTGGTTATTCAACAAATCAAAAAGGATATAAGTGTTACTCTCCTGTCACAAGAAAATTCTACAATTTAATGGACGTCACCTTTTTTGAGAATCAACCATACTACCCCAAAACTGATATTCAGGGGGAGAACTCAACTCAGGAATATTAGTTTTAGGACTTTGAGTCATTCCTAGAGTCACCCATCACCATAGAAAATCACATTCCTCTAGAGTCATTTAGTCAGCCTCAACCTGCAGAAAACACCAAGTTCATTGTTGATTTGCGGGATACGGAGCACATCCAAGAGGAAACAAAGGAAAGAGCACTTTCTCAATAAAACCATGAACCAAGTCCTAATCCTCCCGAAATTCCAGGTAATAATTTTGACTTAGATGGTTTTGTTGATTCTGAGTTAGAAAATGAGATATTAAATATGCTCATAGTTTAGAGAAAATGGGTTCGGTCATGCACTCAACATCCCATTGGAAACTTAAATTATTTCATATGATGGTTTGTTTCCTTCTTTTCATGCCTTCACTAGTAGTCTTACAGAGATACAGGCTCCTAGCAATATTCAGGAAGCCTTTGAGTGTCCTAAGTGGAACGTTGCCGTTAATGAAGAGATTTAGGCACTAAGAAAGAATGGAACTTGGGAAATTACTGATCTTCCGAGAGGTAAGAAAACTGTTGGGTGTAAGTGGATCTTCACAGTGAAATATAAAGCAGATGGTAGTGTGGACAGGTATAAAGCTCGTTTGGTTGCCAAAGGATTCACCCAATCTTATGGCATTGACTATCAGGAAACTTTTGCTCCAGTTGCCAAGCTCAACATTGTTCGTGTACTTTTATCCTTGGCAGCTAACCTTAATTGGTATTTGCATCAACTAGATGTGAAAAACGTCTTCTTCAATGGTGATCTAGAGAAGAAGTCTATATGGATATTCCTGATGGGCTTAAGACATCATCTAACTCCAACAAGGTTTGTAGACTTCAAAAATCCTTGTATGGACTCAAGCAATCTTCGCGGGCATGGTTTGAGAGATTTACTAAAGCAGTAAAAGGTTATGGATATTCTCAGTGTCAATCTGACCATACTTTGTTTGTGAAGCACTTCCTTGAAGGGAAGATGGCCATTATTATTGTTTATGTGGATGACATCATTCTAACAGGTGACCATGAGGAAGAAATTAGTCTTCTCAAACAATTCTTGGATAAAGAATTTGAGATCAAGGACCTAGGGAATCTTAAGTACTTCCTGGGGATGGAAATTGGTAGGTCAAGGAAAGGCGTCTCTATCTCCCAACGTAAGTATATTCTGGATTTGTTGAGTGAAACAAGAATGCTTGGTTGTAAACCTGCCGAGACCCCCATGGATCCAACAGTCAAGCTTGAAGTTAATGACGGGAGTGCTTCTGTCGACAAGGGATAGTATCAAAGCCTTGTGGAGAAACTCATCTATCTCTCCCATACTAGACCTGACATCAGTTTCTCCGTCAGTGTATTCAGCTAGTTCATGAATTGCCCGATTGAGAGACATATGACTATTGTATACAGAATTCTGAGATATCTCAAGATGACTGCGGGTAAGGGTCTATTCCTCTTAAGAACTTTTAAGAGAAATATTGAAGTTTATTTAGATGCAGATTGGGTAGGATCCATTATAGATCGACGATCAACTTCTGGATATTGTTCTTATGTGTGGGGAAACTTGGTGACTTGGAGAAGCAAGAAGTAATCCGTTGTAGCCCGTAGTAGCGTAGAAGAAGAATTTCGAGCTATGGCACATGGAATTTGTGAAGGAATTTGGTTACAAAGATTATTGTTAGAATTAAAGGTCACCTTGGAGCATCCTATGGAATTATACTGTGATAATCAAGCTGCCATCAGTATAGCCAAGAATCTGGTTCATCATGATCGAACTAAGCATGTGGAGATAGATCGACATTTTATCAAAGAAAAGATTGAAGAAGAAATTTTTAAGGTTAACTATACTCCGACAACCGATCAAACTGTAGATATTCTCACAAAAGCTCTTGCTCGAGCCAACTTCAAAGACTTTGTAGAGAAACTTGGTATGATCAACATCTATACATCGGCTTGAGGGGGAGTGTTGAAAGTCAAGACGTCGACTGTGTTTATTTGGTTGTTTTGTTTCCTTATTATGTATTAGTTAGTGTATCTTGTTTTTTTAGGAGTTTTTTTTTTAATTATTTTAGGAGTTTTTTATTTTTTTAATTATTCTTTTCCTTTTATAAGAAGATTGAATTCCTAATTACTAAATGTCTTCTTTATTCAATAAAATAACACGAGAAGAAATAGTCTGTTTTTCCTCCTTCTTCGAGTCTTTATTTTCTACAATTCTAGTATATGTATTGCCCTGCTAATGTTGTTGAACTTGATTTGGATCAAGTAAAATGTGTAGCTATTGCAAACCAATCAATATTGTACTACCGGTGATCCAATTAAATGATATGTCACAGTACATTCCCGCACCATATTACCTCCTCATGCACTGGATAAAAAAGACGTCAACTTCGTTAGAAATTGCCAAAGAGGATAAATCTCTTCCCTCTGAAATTGTGATTCAAAATTCTCCGTAAATGAGTGTTCTGAAATAATATAGAAATAATGTTATCCCTTTATTTTTTGTGGTTATTTTTAGACAATAAAGGCGGCCTTTCTAAAATATAACAGAGCGTGAACAAAAGGGAGCTTCCACGCATGAAATTTAGGTATTATTTCAGATGCTTTTTCCTTTTTTCAAAACAAAGCTAGATATATTACTTCTAGGGATGGATTTCTAAAGATTTTTCAACATATACGAGCTCTTGCAGATAATCAATATTTTCTATTGTTCCTTTCTTTTTTGATAACATAATTAAAAATACTAAGATGAACATCCTCTTAACGATCTTCACCTTCACTACGTCTTCAATTCTCATTCTCTTCTCTTTTCTCATACTCAAAATCTATTCCGGAAAATCTATCAAAGACCCTAGTTATCCACCAGTAAATGGAACAGTCTTTCATATGCTCTTCTACTTCAACAAACTTTATGACTACCAAACTCAATTTGCCAAAACTCAACGAACTTTTAGGCTTCTTTCTCCTGAAAACAGCCAAATCTACACCACCGATATACGAAACATAGAACATGTACTAAAATTAAATTTCGGTAAATATTCAAAAGGGAAGTATAATCAAGATATTATGACAGATCTTTTTGGCCATGGGATATTCAACGTGGATGGAGAAAAGTGGAGGCAACAGAGGAAACTCGCTAGCTTTGAGTTTTCAACAAGAGTTCTTAGAGATTTTAGCTGTGCTGTGTTTAGAAAAAACACTGCTAAGCTGGTCAAAGCAGTTTCGGAGTTTGCTACTGCGGGTCGGATCTTCGATATGCAAGTAAGTGTTCTTAAGATTAAAATATTTTATTAAGCATAACATGTATAAATCCTAATTATATTTTAATGTTCTCCCTTTGCAGGATGTACTGATTAAATGCGCTTTGGATTCGATGTTCAAAGTCGGGTTTGGAGTTGATTTGAATTGCTTGGATGGGTTAAGCAAAGAGGGGACTGAATTCATGAAAGCCTTTGACGATGCAAATGCTTTGGTGTATTGGCGATATGTTGATCCATTCTGGAAGCTGAAAAGGTCTCTTAACATCGGTTCTGAAGCGTCTCTTAAGAACAATCTGAAAGTCATTGATGAGTTTGTGAACAGACTTATTAGAACTAAGAGAGATAATCTGACGCTGCAACAAGATTTTGTGAGTTATATTGATCACTACCTTTGTTCTAATTCTATTATTACTTGAATTAAATTAATTCATTTTAATTTTTTTTTCCTAATTTCAAGAATCTAAAAGAAGACATACTATCAAGATTTCTGGTGGCGAGTCAAGAGGATCCGGAGAAAATGAACGATAAATACTTAAGGGACATAATATTGAGTTTTATGATCGCTGGCAAAGATACTACTGCCAATACTCTCTCTTGGTTCATTTACATGCTCTGCAAGAATCCTTTAATACAGGAAAAGGTGGTGCAAGAAGTAAATGATATCACTGGTAATGATGGGAAAGAAACAACCAACATTGATGATTTTGTGGCTAATATAACCGAGGAGACACTTGAGAGAATGCAGTATCTCCATGCAGCATTAACAGAGACTTTGAGACTATACCCTGTGGTCCCTGTGGTAAAATTTTATTTTTAAAGATCAATTTAATTTTCTATATGTTTTTACTTATTAAATATTCTTTGAATTTTGGGTATACAAGGATGGAAGGTGTGCAGAAATAGACGACATTCTTCCTGATGGATTTAGGCTAAAGAAAGGAGATGGGGTGTACTACATGGCCTATGCCATGGGTAGAATGTCTTATATTTGGGGAGAAGACACTGCAGAATTCCGTCCTGAAAGATGGCTCAAGAATGGAATTTTTCAACCTGAATCACCTTTCAAATTTGTATCTTTTCATGTTAGTAATCTCATTTTTTTCTATTATAATGTACGCTTGTCTAACAGATTCAATATTTTAATATGTATTTACATTTGCAGGCTGGTCCTCGAATTTGCCTCGGAAAAGACTTTGCTTATCGTCAGATGAAGATAGTAGCAATTGCCCTTCTTCGCTTCTTCCACTTCAAATTGGCCGATGACACAAAAAACGTAACTTACAAGACAATGTTTACGCTTCACATTGATGGAAGCCTCGATCTTTATGCAATTTCAAGGAATAGTTGATGGATATCAAAATGTGACGCCCAAACAGAAGAAAAAGGAAAAACAATCTAGTTTTTATTTGCAGGAAGCGTATTGCACTTAACTCTTGCATTGTCAGCTCGGGCTTCTAATAATGTTGGATTATTGTGGCTATTCTGATCTCTGTAGGTAATGAACTTTGTAGCCTACTATTGACATTACCTCTAAATAAGTATCTGCTGCACATTAACCTTTCGGTTACTGCTTGTTCAATATGAAGTGTTTTAAGGCTACTGCCAAGTGCCAAGCTCTGTGAGGAGAGACATTTAGTTTTAAGAAATTTATTACAAAAATTACTTTAATCTTTACATCTAATTTCGACCTTTGTTTGCTAAGTAACTTGATATGTTTCATGTTGTTAAAGGAACTGTCAAGGGTGTTCCAATCAGAATGCGATGAGAATGCTGTTTATTGAGTACTGCGAGAGAGGGAGTCATTTGGAAAAAAAATTGGAACTGATTAAAAATCCAGAAGAGAGCGACAATATGATCAGGACCGATTGTACCCAACAACAGATAAATTTATATTTATCCCAGTAATTGGCATGGCCTGCTTAGCATATATCTGCTGGCAACATCGCAAAAGAAAATCGAACTAATAAAAAGAAAGAAAGAACCTCAAAAAGATCCAATTGTTAGTCAATTTATCAATATTTTAACAAATTCCTGTCTCAATACCTTATTTGCACCGTTGTGTCCTGTAAAGAATGTGTTAAACAGATGATGATGAATTCTCTAATGCCCTGAAAGAAGACTCCGTCTCTTAGCCACCAAGATAGAGAATCTCATCGCTTAAACCTTGACGTTTCAACTAAACTCCCGTTTTTTGTTTTTAAATAAATATTCACTTTCAATAACGAACGTAAGACTTTAAAATTAAAATTATCAATTATTTACAGATTGGACCAACTCAATATATAATTAAGGATCATCTGATGATCCTCCATTCACAACAGGAAAATAAAAATATGGGTATCATCTTAATTATCTTTACCTTCATTGCATTGTCACTTCTCTTTCTCTTCTTAACCCTCTCTTTTCTCATTTTTAAAATCTATTCTCGCAAATCTATCAGAGACCCTACTTATGCACCAGTAAAAGGTACAGTCTTTCACCAGCTCCTCTACTTCAACAAACTCTATGACTACCAAACTGAAGTTGCCAGAAAACAACAAACTTTTAGGCTTCTCGGTCCGGAACAAAGCGAAATCTACACGACCGATATACGAAACATAGAACACATACTGAAAACAAATTTCAATAAGTATTCAAAAGGTGATTATAATCAAGATATAGCCACGGATCTTTTTGGCCAAGGAATATTTATAGTCGATGGAGAAAAGTGGAGGCAACAGAGAAAGCTAGCAGAGTTGAGTTTTCAACTAGAGTTGTTAGAGATTTTAGTTGTACTGTGTTTAGAAGAAACGCTGTTAAGCTAGTCAAAACCGTTTCCGAGTTTGCTACCGCGGGTCGGGTCCTGGATAGCAAGTAAGTACTAAGTATCTCCAATTATTTCATTTTGAATATTTTACTGCATGTAACTTAACGGTATAATTTCTTATGGGCCTAATTATGTTTTTTGGTAGGATTTACTGATGAGATGCACTTTGGATTCCATATTCAAAGTTGGGTTTGGTGTTGATTTGAATTGGCCTGGATGGATCAAGCAAAGAGGGGACAGAATTCATGAAAGCCTTCGATGATTCAAATGCTTTGGTGTATCAGCGATATGTTGATCCATTCTGGAAGTGAAAGGTATCTAATATTGGCTCTGAAGCATCCCTTAAAAAGAATATCAAACTCATTGATGGTTTTGTGCAAAAACTTATTAGCACCAAGAGAAATCTTCTAGCCACGCAACAAGATTATGTGAGTTCTGATAATATCATCCGTGTTATTAATTCCATGTATTTGTTTTTTTAACTTAATTCCTAAGGTTTGACCATTATTAATTTTCTGTTTGAAGAATCAAAAGGAGGACATACTTTCAAGATTTTTGGTGGCGAGTCAGGAGGATCCAGTGAAAATGAACGAAATACTTGAGAGATATAATATTGAATTTTATGATAGCCGGAAAAGATACAAGTGCTAACACACTATCTTGGTTCTTCTACATGCTCTGCAAAAACCCTTTGATACAAGAAAAGATTGTGCAAGAAGTAAAAGATGTCACTGGTACTGGTATCAAGAAAAAGAAATTAACCTGATGATTTCGTTGCAAACATAACGGAAGAAACACTTGAGAGAATGCAGTACCTTCATGCTGCCTTGGCAGAGACCTTGAGGCTATACCCGCAGTTCCTGTGGTAGGCAATTATTTTGAAGTTTTTTTTTTTTTTTTAATTTTCTGAGTAATAGGACAAGCTTAATTTTGATATGAAATTAATTAGGCCAAAGTACCCTATAGATAGTGGTTATATTGAGTGGTAGTGGCGTTTGTTTAGACAGGATGGAAGGTGTAAAGAAACAGACGACATTCTTCCTGATGGGTTTCGATTGAAAAAAGGAGATGGTGTGTATTATCTTGCTTATGCAATGGGTAGGATGTCTTATATTTGGGGAGAAGATGCTGAGGAATTTAGACCTGAAAGATGGCTTAACAATGGAATTTTTCAACCAGAATCACCTTTCAAATTTATAGCTTTTCATGTCCGTAATATCCCTTTCTTAATCAGCTATTGCATTATATCTATATCCCAATCACACAGTTTTAATATTTGAATTTGTTCTTATTTTCCAGGCTGGTCCAAGAATTTGTCTAGGGAAAGACTTTGCTTACCGACAAATGAAAATACTATCAATGGCTCTACTTCGCTTCTTTCACTTCAAATTGGCTGATGAGACAAAAAATGTAACTTACAAGACCATGTTCACACTTCACATTGACGGAAACCTCCATCTTTGTGCAATTTCAAGGAAAAGTTGATGGGTTTTAATATATATGTTCAAAAATAGAATGCGATGAATTTTTATTATGTAAATAAGTTTTATGTAATTGGTGTGGTGCTTGCACTGTTAGCTTTACCTCTATGTAATTGTTATATTAACCATTAATAGGCGCGGAATGTCACAGGCCTCAAAATGAGCCGAAGATCCTAGACGTTGTTCCGTAAATGCTCTTGTTATATTGAGCCGAATAGCCACTCAAAGAATGGCATTGCCAAAGTGATGTCAACTAGCTTACTAGCTTTTGACTTAAAAGTATGTCCATGAAAGCTACTCTATAAGTATGATGGTCACAGTAATAATAATAATATTTAATATTGAAAAATGTTATCCTTACAAAGACCCATATAAAGAGGGCTACAAAGTGACATCATCCAGAAGAAAAAATAAAGAAAAAACAGAAAAAGAGAAAGAGAGAGAGAGATAAATCATAAAAATCAAGAGTATAGATTGTCTTTATATGTCCCTTTGTATGTGTCTTTGTAAAACTAACATTGCTCATTTAACATTTTATGTAGTTCAAAAAATACAAGTAAATGAGTTGAATTAGAACATCATACAAGGTGTCGATAAATGAACTGATATCAAGATTTACTAGCAGGTAGCAAACGCAATACCACTATTGTTTGTTTGTCAGGGTAATTAAAAAAATAAAAATGGACGTAGAAGAGAATGAATGCTAACTAACACTAAGTTGTCTAACGGTTAATTAGGACTTTTGGGTGTATTATTCAAGTGGTTTTTAGTTCAATCTACCTGGATTGTTAATAGGTGTGGCCACTGAGAGGATTTATCCAATTGTCAACTTTAGGGTCCTGAAAGATTAGTGCGTGTAAAAACAAAAGAAGAGAATGAATGCTGTCAAGCAGTTTTGGCTTTTGGGGTTTGCCAGTCGTCTTGAGTTTTCTCCTACTATGTACCCATCCCATGCGCTGGATTGACAAAGATCAAGTTAATAAATAAATTAATATACTGCCAAGTGCCAAGCCCTGTGAGGAGAGAGATTTAGTTTTAAGAAATTTATTACAAAAATTACTTTAATCTTTACATCTAATTTCGACCTTTGTTTCCTAAGTAACTTGATACGTTTCATGTTGTTAAAGGAACCGTCAAGGGTGTTCCAATCAGAATGCGAAGAGAATGCTGTTTACTGAGTACTGTGAGAGAGGGAGTCACTTGGAAAAAACATTGAAACTGATGAAAAATCCAAAAGAGAGCGACAATATGATCAGGACCGATTGTAGCCAACAACAGATAAATTTACATTTGTCCTAGTAATTTACTAATAACAGGAATGGCTTGCTTAGCGTATATCTGATGTCAACATCGCATCCCAATTACACAGTTTTAGGCTGCGTTTGTTTCACATTTGGGAATACTACTTTTAGTATTCCCAAAAAAGTTAAACAGTAAATTACCCAAAATTTCAGATTTTTGGGAATACTACTCCCAAAATTATTTAACTTTTTTTAAACCCCTTAAATTTGATAATTTAATTAAATACCCCTAAATATTTTTTTTTAAATTACAAAAACACCCCAATAATCCANTGTTCTTATTTTCCAGGCTGGTCCAAGAATTTGTCTAGGGAAAGACTTTGCTTACCGACAAATGAAAATACTATCAATGGCTCTACTTCGCTTCTTTCGCTTCCAATTGGCTGATGAGACAAAAAATGTAACTTACAAGACCATGTTCACACTTCACATTGACGGAAACCTCCATCTTTCTGCAATTTCAAGGCAAAGTTGATGGGTTTTAATATATATGTTCAAAAATAGAATAAGATGAATTTTTACTGTGTAAATAAGTGTTATGTAATTGGTGCGGTGCTTGCACTATTAGCCTTAGCTATATGTAATTGTCATATTAACCATTAAAAACATCTCTAATGGTGCTCTTTATTTTAAAGAACATTTTTCATATAAATAAAGAGCATTTTCATTAATTTCTAAATATAAAGAACACAATTTTTGTTCAAATCCAATGGATTCTTTAAATTTAATGAAGATACTCTTTATTCTAAAGAAAAATACTTAATAGGAGAGAGAATTAATAAACAAAACGCATAAAAACTTGTAGTTTATTAATTAAAATTAAGATAGAGAGTGAAATTTGACTCTCTAGATGTAGAAAGTCAAACTTACTCTTTAATTTATATTTGAAGGATAAAAAGTATGTTGAACTCTTGTTTTTATGGATATACTTTTTATAATAAAGAGTTTGGATCATATAAAGAGTCTTTTAGAAATGCTCTAATAGGCGCGGAATATCACTTATTGGCCCAAGCCTAGATAAGTAAAACGGAATGTCACAGGCCTCAAAATAAGCCGAAGATCCTAGACCTTGTTTCGTAAATGCTCTTGTTATATTGAGCAGAAAAGCCACGCAAAGAAAGGCATTGCCAAAGTGATATCAACTACCTTACTAGCTTTTGACTTAAAAGTATGTCCATAAAAGCTACTCAATAAGTATGAGGGTTACAATAATAATAATAATATTTAACATTTTATGTAGTTCAAAAAATACAAGTAAATGAGTTGAATTAGAACATCATACAAGGTGTCGATAAATGAACCG